ATGACTCGGGACCAGAGAGAGGGTCGATGAACGAGGATGGATCCGTCAACCTTGGCCTACGCCGTCGACCAGATCACCCACTCACGATCGAGCCTCAACCAGTTGTGCGACCTACCAGGACAATGTCACCACTGCCGTCGACATCCGATCTCGCTGCGTATCATCAATCGAGCAACCCTCGAAACTTTCCTGGCTCATTGAACGACGATAATCGATTGGCTCCCATGACATCGATGGGAACGACCACTGAAAGGCAGACATCTCTTTCCCCTGCCTCATTTCTCTCGCCAGCACGAAAACGATCCTTTTCCACGACCGAAAGCGAGGCGTTCAACTCGGGGGAGACGCCACAAGAGAGCTCGAAGCGGGTTTCGTCGATTAATATCAAATCGATACTTAACCCTTCGACTTCGGCCGACAGCCCTCCCAACATGGGAGCAGGAAGTGATGATGGAGACTACTCTCTGCCTCCGATACGATCACCCGGAAGCACAATCGCATCGGCCCCCAGCCCTGGGGCCTTTTCGAATCGTGATCATACCCCCGGTACCCCGTCGATGTCGCGCGACTACAGCATGGATGGTGAGAGGGTCAAGTCGGAGCGTCGAGCGGCGCTACAACGCGAGGCGGATAGAATGCGGGAAATGCTTGCCGCTAAAGAGCGGGAGTTGCAGGAACTCGGACATGATTAATGAATGGGATCCATGACGGAACACAACAATGACTCATGAAGTTCTTCGTGGTCAGTACGGAGTCACTGGAACGCGAGGCTTTTGCGAACGGGGCGGGTTACGGAGACCAGAGGGTCGGCGCTTTTGGAATTCACTACATGAACAACACATCAGGACGGTTTCCGGCTCAGGACATGCGGCGCATCGTGTTCAAGGAGTCTGATGGTTTACAGACATGGCGGGTCTGCATTTCTTTTTCTCCCTTTGGGAGCGGAAAATGGCTATACAAAACTATGGGACGGAACAGCTACACCATTTGATGCTCGAAAACCGCCAATTCCGACGAAATGGCGAATGCATTTTTAGACACGTTTGGCTGAGGGATCGCGAGATAGTTTCTAGGAGTCCAAAAGAGAGAATGCTGTGCCGCATTGAGCGGCTAAGAGTCCAAGACTCTGCAAAGTATTAGCTTTGTGTATGCCATCTGCTCCATTGTTTGATTTATTGATCATGGTGACGACGCGGTTAGAATGCCTGGCCTTTGTTATGGGGTTAGTAGGTCCTTGAGGTCAAATTTGTCATTCCAAGATGGTGGAAGAGGCGTTGATATTGCCATTCATCATCATCTATATCATTGACGTGGTAGCATTGACGACCCGGTCTGCGGGCGGTGGGCATCAAAGTAACTGATAGCAAGAGAGAGATTGTGCTTCAATATTCACTTCTATCTAGATAGTCTCCTCCAACGCCAAATTCGTCACTATCCATCACGGCCACATCTCGTGTTGACGAACACGCGGGTGTCGGTAGGTAGGGCTGACCCTTGTGACTGTGACTGCAACGCTACCAAACACTGAGTCAACGATCTCTATTTCCGAACGCCAAAAAGGACGGTACAATGAATAAAATACTCAAAGATTTAGGAAGTTTTTTTGTCATTTTCATCTCTTATTTAGCTTATAATTTGACCATAAAGTGGTTACTTCATTGGCTTCATTGAGCGCATCCGTCCGGAGCCGTGCCGTACGAACCGAGGCATCTTCCGCCACATTGCAAAAGGGGAAATTGTTGAGATTTTTGTTTGGGCTATTATGGCACGACACAGCAGCGCGAGACTAAGCACGCAACATCCTGCTGCCTTGACAAATATAGGGGTCCTTTGGGATCCATCATGCCATGGCCCGTCGGTTGGCGTGCCCGTTGAGCCCGTACCACGTGCGAATCTGGGAAACGGTGATCTGGACGGATTGGACATGTTTTCTTGGGCTCCCATTCCTTCTGCAACATTGTAGGGATATATGGTTGTGATGGAGGGTGGGATATCTCGTTGTAAGGGTGGGGTGGTTCGCATCTGAGAAACCATCACCCGGGAAAGGTCCCAAAGTATTACCATTGTTATGATATGCATCTTTAATTATTTTACTATATTTTATCTAAATATAAGTGTAACAACTATGAAGAGTTAGGTAACTCTCTTCATGGTGTTGTCGTGTCTCGGCCCCCGTGGCTGTTGAGAGGCATTTCTCGCTTGGGCTTGGGCTACAAGTGAACGACCGCTATTTGTCATGGATGGTAATCAAATTCCTAGAATGGAAGGTCTGTGGAAGCCCGGGTATGTGGTCGCTTCGTTGCTGCCCCTCCTGTGCTGGAGGGGATGGCCTGATTTACAATATAGCTGCGACGTGACATTGACGATTGGGGATGATGAAGCGTCACTAGAAAGAGGTACTTCTGTGGCAGGGTCCTGGATGCTATGGATAGCCATATGGCGAGTATTTTGGTTAAGCCAGTGTGTGATCGACGATGGCAATGAAGACTCCGCCAACTTCAATATAATGGAACGACGCCACCAGGTCATTTGAGCGCTCTTCGCTCGCTATCTTGAGTGAACAACGCTGGATCATCGTTAGCTACCATCTTAGCTGACATGTTTAGGCTGACCTGGGTGTAATGGGCAATTCAACAGGACATTGCAAATGCAGCTTCTGAAGCATAGTTGATGCTTTAATGTCCTTACTTGGCATCTTGTGTACAAGGCCCACCTGATTGAGAGTGTGGTACTGCTGCGTCTAATATGGAAATCAAGACACAACGATGTTCACGAATCAGGCAGACCTACAATCATGGGGCCGAGGGGGGGGAGAAACGCCAGGACAGCAATCCCTTTAGATTATCCTCTCCTAAACATGGTTAAGAAACTGTAGTAAATATAGGCAAGAGAGCTCTAAAACATTGCCTCGTTTATGATATATACTTGACTATTTTATATAAATTTAATTATTTTCCTTGAGAGGAGTTAGGCAACCCTCTTAAACATTCTGGTGTTTTGTTGTTTCGTTTATGCACTGAAATGCCCTGAATTCCCCCGTGCACCCTCGCCCTTGCCCTTGGGATCGCGCTTCTTCTTCCCTTTGTTGAGCTCGATGTAGAGGTCTGTCTTCAGGTCAGATGTCAGGCCATCAAGATGGTCCAACGTCCATCTTTTTATAGTGCTCAGCGGCCCCGCCTCTTGGCCTTCAGGGTCAGCCTGCTACTCCTTGATCTCCTCGATGATATATTCAATGAAGGTGCGAGCGTCTGTGTTGGCGTTGATCGTTCGCTGCACATATAGCTTCTTGTTGTTGATAAACTTGATTAATACTATTAGAAACTCCTCACTTTATACCCGCATAGACGAGCCTGCGTTCAGCTCTCCCATGCCTGGGGAAGGTAACTCACCCGTCTCGGTGAACTGGGACCGCTACAAGGGGGCATCACAACACTGGGAAGACTGGGGACACAAGTTATCTGGAGTGGATTGCCACGTCTGGCTAGAGAATGCAACGAAGCTGAACACCACGCGCGAAACTAACTCCCCGGAGCGTCACCCCCTTGGCAAGACGGTGAGGTTGACCTGGGCAGCCCTCACCCTTCTCAAAATCATCTATGACACCGACAACCTCTTGGCTACCGAGCTGGCCCTGCGATTCCAGGATCGATTTCCACAGGCAGACTTGGGGCAGTGGGTTCCCAACACGGATGGAGAGCACGCCAAAAACTCGTCCACGGATGGCTTCCCTGAGCTAACTCTTAGGGAATACTCTTCTTTCATAAGGAGAGAATCTACCTAAAATAGAAAAAGAATTATTTAATATTCTATCAATCCTCTTCAAATTATTTTAGAATTATAATCACATTAATGAGGGTATCCGGTTGAGATGATGCTTGTAAGGTGGTGTACCAATGACACGTTCGGGTAAAAGCCTTTGTTGATATCGACCTGTGTCTCCCAAACGGAGTACGGGATCGGTCCACAGGTGCGAACGATATGTATCTTTCTGTTCACGACGCGAATCCTGTGTTTCAATCTCTGCTGAAACATCTCATCCAACTCCTCGTCTTCCAGATCGTTCAACCCATCTGAATCAATATCGTCGGCCATCTGGTTGTCGGTGATGTTGACGGTGATGTCTCGGAGACGGTTCTCGTCTGTGTGGAGCATGGCGAACACTTGGGAATCGACATGGGAATCCATAGCAAGGAGATCGAGCATGTAGCGGTCGATGTAGTTTCGGCCCTCTCTCATCGCGGTAACCATCGACCTTCGCATCCTTTCCGACTCGATGGTGTCGGTGGGGGGAGATGAGCCAGGGATGATGCCCGCCCGGCACAGCATCCTTGGGCCAAACCACTCCGATGACATTGTAGCAAGTGAGGTCTTCGAGCCAGCGCGTTGTGATGAGGGAAGTTGGGAGTGACGTTGATTGCGAGTGACGTTGATTGAGAGTGAAGTCGGTTGAGAGTGTGAAGTTGGTTGGAAATGAAGTTGATTGGGAATGAAGCTGGTTGAGAGAATGAAGCTGGTTGAGAATGAAATCGATTGGGAATGAAGTTGACTGGGAATGAAGCTGGTTGAGAGAATGAAGCTGGTTGAGAATGAAGTTGATTGGGAATGAAGTTTATTGAGAGTGTGAAGTTGGTTGAGAGTCAAGTTGGTTTGACGGAGCAGATATAAGGGATAAGAGAGGATCAAGAGATATAAAGGTGGCAGAGATAAGCACGAGTTTCTATTAATCCAGCGGAAATTATAGTCTTAGTAGAATCCGGTGCTCTAATTACCCTCTCTGCGTGCTCTAATTACCCTCTCTGCGTGCTCTAATTTCATCACTGCTCGCCAGCTGCCAACAACTGCCAATAACTGCCAGGCAGTGATTCAGCGTCATCACCCTTTGTTTATTATTTTTCGACTGACCTCCAAACTCTTCCTTTTCTTTTCTCTTCTTCCACCATCACAACAACACCGTCACCATCGCCATCACCATCGCCATCACCATCGCCATCACCACCAAGATGGCTGACCAGGCGAGCAACCACGACGAAGGCTTTAGTGTTCCTCCCGCGCCGTACGTAAGGCGCCTCACTTGGACTCGCCCACCGACCTCGTCCGCTGACCTCGTACAGTACCATCGCCCCAGAGTTTGCGCATGAGTGGCTTGATCTAGAGCACAGAGAGTCCGTCTCAGCCGTCCATACGGTTCTCCTAGCTCGCCAACACTACATCGCTGCGCAAAACCATCACATCATGTTGCAGCTCGAGAACTTGCACCTCGCCAATTCTCGGTATGTACCAAGTCTCTCCCCAGGTTGATCCTGATCTCCAGTCATATCCCCAGTACTGACACACTGCTAGAACCCAGAGCCGCCGTAGCAGCATGTCATCCGCTGCGGCAAGCACTGAAGGCGGCGACGATGCCAGAATCGCTCCTATCCCCGGAGCCCGAGTCCAAGAGGCGTTCGATGAGCTCAGAACCGGAGAGCTTCAGGGATCCTCAAGGCCCTCCACGATCCATTTGTCACGGTCCACAACAAGAAGTTGTATGTGCAGCGAACTATCAACGCCAACACAGACGCTCGAACCTTCATTGAACACGTCACCCAGGCGATCAAGGAGAAACAGGCCAACCCTGAGGGCCAAGAGGCGTGACGCCTGGCCTCAAGACGGACTTGTACATTGAGCCCAACTAGGTAAAGGCGAAGGATAAGCCGAAGATAAGAATGCCGGAACCCCGTTTCTGTTGGTACCAATGATTATCCTACTCTAAGGAGAGTAAGAAAGATAATAAAATAAGGGAAAAGGACTTCAAGAATATTCTACTATTTTATGTTATTTTCATTATGAATTTAGTGCTCTTTTTATACAAGTCTCATCATCACAATAAACATAACCTTTGAAGAGTTAGCGTGTTTTGTCTTGTTTACTTCCCGTCCCGCCTGGCTCATACCGTTGCAGAGCAGAGGGTTCGAGAAAAGTCAGTCAGGATGTCGCATCCCCCCCCCCCCCAGGGAGAGATCAACAAAGTAATCGACGTCGTTCCCCTGAAGAAACTTGACGAGAAGCTCAAAGGGGTCAGCGAGTTTGCTACGCACCTCCAAGAGGTGTTGGACCCCGAAGCATATGCCTAGGGAAGTGAGGTAGTGTCCTCGACCTTCTTGGGCGTGCTGTCGATGCATTTCGGAAGAGGAAGGCTGGGCAACCTGGTCAAGTCGTCTCTCATACTGTCCCATTATCTCCTTCATGCCATCAATCTGTACCTGGACGACAGCAATTTTTTCATCGACACTGGAAGCAGGGTGGTGATGGCAGTGATTGGGGTTGGGCCCAACGGCATCACCGAATATTGAGCGTCCATGACACTTTGGCTAGACATCCATTGGAAGCGCTAGTGAGGTGAAACCTCCTCTCATGGCTCTGGAGCAACGATTTTGGCTTGGTAGGCAGATTGTGTTAGAAAAATACAACTTGGAGCTTTTTATACTCCAAGCGTGAGGTATGTAACTAGTCTTGCTGTGTAAGTCTGACCTGTACATAGTTGATTGAAGTTGGCCGTGTCTCCTCGGATCTAACCTCAATCTCGCCAACTCGGATCTCGCCGCGTAGTAAGCGGAACCCAGGAATAACGCTGCGGCACTGCGGCGCCTGCGGCACAATCACTTGGCCGTCAGTCCGGTCCGGCCATTCAAGTTATCGGGGGTGCAGCTGTCCACGTGCCGAGCCGACAACGGCGCATCAACCGTCCACTTGGGCTCTGTACCCCAGAACCTAGGCCGCGGAACGGAGAAACAAGCGAGAGAAAAAGAGAGAGCGGTCCAGAGTTCCTCCCGTGTATGCACACCATTACCATGTCGGTCATCGTCAAATACCCCGGGCTTAATGTCCAAAAGACCGGGTGTCTGCCTGCATCGCGAACTCCGGAGAAGGTGGGGCACGGCCGGGAGGTACGTACCTATAGGCCGATGCGCCGCAACAGGTTCGCATGACGCCACTTCTTCTTTCCCTGGCTGAACTGAACCGACCGACCCCAAGAACACAGCATCGACCACCACCCCGGATTTCAGCTGGACATCCAATGCATCCATATCAATCACAACACGCAAGACCTGATTACCAATCTGTAAGACGGTCAGATGCGGCGCCGCCTCAGTCAAGAAGGAAGGCCGCTGCTAGAGGGATCAGCGGCCCGGCTAACGCATGCTAGCCAAGGACGCGGGTGTCGGTGGCTGCGTCTAAACTCTGACCGACCGACAGAGGCCTTCTTTTTCTCCGACAGTCGCTCTCTAGAAAGTTCCAGCGCATTCGCAACTTTCGATACGACGGGATGGATCGAATGCGAGGAAACGCGGGACATGCCAGCTAGGACAGGGCAGGGGAGGGCAGGGGATGCTTCAACTCCATCGGTGGACACAATTGGCTTTATGGGGAACCATGCGGTATTGATTCCGGCTGGTCTTGAATTCGAGATGGTGCATCTCCGTCAATCCTCTTCCAAGAGTCACCCCCAATTGATGGTGGACCGGTCTCGGGCTTAAGGCTTTGCTGGACTGACTCTTGGACGTGGGCCGCGCCTTGCGAACAACGAGAAGCGGAGCCCCGGATGCGCCCCGCCCGGCCTGGCACAGTAGGCAAGACACTGTGAAGTCGAGCCCATGATTGGGCAGCCTGAAGATTCTTCACCGACAGGTCGGTCAACTTGGCTAGGACTGGCGGCCAGCTGAGTGTACGAGTCCGGAAGACCGAGATGCCACAGTGCCTCCAACACGGTCACTCTGCGGCATGGGTGCGTGGGTCCTTTGTCGAAAAAGATCCCTGTCTGTCAATTGAAGGGCGCACGACTTGACATTCTGGCACGAGACTCCAGCTGGTTGGTGTGGCTGGTCGATAATCTGCGCTGCAGTGGGTGCTTCGCGGCTGACGGTGACTCCATGGTCAACGACGACGACTCGAACAGACCGTTACTTGTGACTTGTTGGATCCTTCACTTTGAACAAAACTGAGAGTTGATCCTCGTTTTTCGGGCTCCATTCTCTCCTCTTTATTCTCGTTCAGACTCATCGACGACTCAAGTCAGAGTGGGACAGGGCCGGCCTATCAATCTGACTTGCTTGATTTGGCTGACGGTTGTCATCTTCACGCCTTTCACATTACACAACCATCCCATCCATGAGAGACATACGCGCGCCTTTCACTTGACTTTCATCTCTCCACATCGGTCCCTGAACCGTGCCCAACATGGCTACAATTGACGAGATGGATCAGTTTGTCAACTGGGACAAGGCCGACGATACTGTTGGTCAGACCTTCCAGGACGACACCCTTGCTGGTCTGACAACCGGTCCCGATGGCGACAACATTGATCTCGTCCTGGCCAATGTCAATGAGGATGACTTTAGCTTCTGCGCCCTTCAGCACTTCTCCGACAACAACTTTCCCCTGCCGGACCTCACAACTGAGCAAGTGATGGACTTCACCACCACTGCTGAAAACCTCGCCCATCAATTTCAGTGGATCATGCCAGACTCGCCGTGTGCCAACTGCGCTGTCGGCGGCTTCTCTTGCAAGAAGATCCAAGAGGGTCAGTATAAGGGTTACTGCACGACCTGCGTAGCTCTGAGGGTGGACTGCAGCTTTGGTGTCACGGCCGAGCCTCTGAACCCTACGACTACGGCCCCATATGGCATCAACCCTTGGATGTCATCTCAACCCAACCCACCCAACACGGTCCTAGAGGATGCTCAGGATGACTCTTGCCAGTCCTCTCGTAATGCCTCAGTCACAGATCTGACCAACTTGACCGACACATTCAACAAAGCGGCGCCACCTCCCAAAATTGGAGCTCGATTCTCTCGAGAGTCAGTCCGTATCCTCAAGAACTGGCTCTCGACTCACAACCGCCATCCCTATCCCAGTGACGAGGAGAAAGAGATACTCCAGCGCCAGACTGGCCTGAACAAGACACAGATCACTAATTGGCTTGCCAATGCTCGCCGCCGTGGCAAGGTCCAGGCTCCTCGCTCGACCTCACCACACTACACCAGCTCCTGGTCAGGCCCCATTGACATTCCTCAACGCCGAGGAACGCCTGCTCTCGAAGCCATGAACCCCCTACAGCGATGGGAACACTCGCCCCCGGAAAACGAACCCGCGTCCGTCACTGCCATTGCCAGAGCCGTCACTGCGTCGTCCTCTGGCATGTCATCGGGCCTCAACAGTCCTTTCAGCTTCCACTACACCGACGATGGCTCGAGCAGGTCCCTCTGCAACCAGTCCTCTGCCAGCAGTTTGGGAACCTCTCATTCGAGCAATGGATCGCATGGATCGGCCTATTCTCATGGGTCGCGCAACTCATGGGGCTCCTTTGGTTCAGCCCCTTTCAACTCTCGAGGCCGCCGCCGCCGTCGCAGAAGGGCCTCGACAAAGCCGGGCAACGAACCGAGCAAGACGAGTTTGTCTGCACCTCTCAAGACCTTCCAGTGTACATTCTGTACGGAAACATTCAGAACTAAGCACGACTGGCAACGCCATGAAAAATCGCTGCATTTGTCTCTTGAGCGATGGGTCTGCTCCCCTCATGGGCCCCGAGCTGTCAACCCTGACACCGGTATGCTCTCTTGCGTCTTCTGTGGCGAGGCCAACCCCGACGACGCGCATATTGAAAGCCACAATCACTCGGCCTGCCAAGAGCGCAGCCCAGAGGAGAGGACTTTCTACCGAAAGGATCATCTCAACCAGCACCTGCGTCTGGTTCACAACATCAAATTTCAGGACTGGTCGATGAAGTCGTGGAAGGTTGCAACGCCTGAAATTCGGTCCCGGTGTGGTTTCTGCGGCATCATTATGGACACTTGGACAATCCGTGTTGATCATCTGGCGGAGCATTTCAAGACTGGTTATTCCATGGCTGACTGGAAGGGTGACTGGGGTTTTGATAACCCTGTACTCGAGATGGTCGAGAACTCTATGCCTCCATGTATGAGACCTCTGCAGTATCCTGTAGACAAGCTGCCAACGTCTAACTTTTGAAATAGATCTGATTCATTATGAACGCACATCCCCGTTGCCATACGTAGCGAACCAGTCCCCGCCAGAGTCCCCTCGAAACGCCTACGAACTGATCAAACTGGAGATGGCCTTCTTCATGCGGAACTATGAGGACCAGCACGGACGACTACCCAACGACGAGGAGATGATGGTGGAAGGATGTCGTATTATTTTCGCCAGCGAATTGTTGTCTCTTCAAGGTATCGCCACACGCCCTTCCTGGCTTCGTGACCTTATCATGAGCTCCGACTTGCACCAGCAAAAGGCCAGGTTCGGTCCTCTGCGAGGGGCGGCTGAAAACAGACTGGCTACGCTAAAAATTAACGGCAAGGACAACTTGTTCGAGGAGTGCCCTATGGAGGTGCAGCTTCAAGAGTTTGTCAAGACAAAGAGGTTATTGGGCCTGACCGCCATGGACGATGAGCTCCAGGAGGAGGCTTGCCACATTGTCGGTCGTGTCGAGGAAGTATCGACACATCCCTCAGACGCCATCGCCAACTGGCTGCTGCGCCTGGCCGTGTCGTCCACTCACTGGTTGGCCTCTTTCCGCCGACGTGCACACTTGCCAAGAAGCGAGGATGTCAAGGATCACATTTGCCGGTCATCTGATCCCTTGTCTATCGACTCGACAATCCACAGTTATACTCGGCTGGAACGAGAACTAGGAGACTATCTCAAACTGCAGCGGTCGATGGGGTCGGAACCTACGGATGATGATCTCCAACGACAGGCTCGTATCATTATATACGAATTCGACGACGGCTGGAATCAGACGGCTGCTGACAACATGTCATGGCTAGAGAGCTTCAAAGCTCGACACCCTCCGACAACAGAGAGCTCACCGGCTTTCTCGCTCCAACCCAGCACTACATCGACCTTGGGCGGCACCACAGTGACCAACGCCACGACGACATCGCCTGACTGCCCAGTTCTCCAAGGCTGCAATAGCCCCTTTAACGTGTGCAACTTGGGGACTTCCCAGCCTGGACCCTACTTCCTTAACGACGCCAACTGCTACCGACGGTTGGCAAAGGAGCTGGGAAGATGGGTGGGAGCTACCATGTCATCCAACAACCCAAACCAGCATGTGCCAACCGACGCCGAGCTCCAGCACCAGGCGCGCTGGATTCTATATGATGAGTGAGTTTGCCCGAATAAGATTTTGAGATGATGAACTAACAAAGCCTCAGCGATGATCCGTGGAACCAGACTGCTGCAGACAACGCCGAGTGGTTGCAGAGGTTCAAGCGTGATGCTGGGATCCTCAAGACGGATGGACCTGGTCTCCCTGTGAGCGACGGATGGGCTCTCGAGCAAGGTGGTTCAGGATTTGCGCCACCATACGCCTGTCCCAAGGCCTCACTCGAGCCGTTCCCGGCCAACGCACAGGTCCCAATGGGACAGGGCGCCAAGTCCCTCCCCGCGGCCGTTGCCAACAGCTATCTCGAGAATCTGGCGTCACAAGCTGCGCGTCCGGCTATGATCTTCTGTTCCCGAGAGCTGGAGCGTGGCCTGGTCGACTACGTGGAAGACCATGTGGCCTGCACGGGACGTATGCCCTCTGATTACATGATCAAGGCGCGAGGACGACAGATCCTTGGCGCAAATACGACCCCCGCTGAGGACGGAGACCTAATGGAGAAGTTCAAAGCCATGGTGGCCAAGAAGGTCCCCCACGCGCTGCCTGCTCAAGAAGCTGAGGCGGCAGCCCCCGAGATGCCCAGCAACATGGGCGTGAACATCTCTGACGCGGATCTTGACAACATTTTGCAAGATATGAACTTCGAATTTGATCCTCAAGACTTTGAAGGTGTCACGATGGAAGGCCTGCAAGACGCGGGCGGTGTTAGCCTGAACATGACGGGCTTTAACAACTAGGGACCGCTGTTCACTATTAAGGAGGCGTATTAATGGGGATGAGCGTTGGATGAGAGACGAAAAAGCAACAAGAATTTGCGAGAATTTTCAACAAGATGCATATGGCATAGCATGTAGTACACGATAATTTTAGAGGTGGATATATCAGGGGACTCAACGGATGGATGGCTTGGTTCATGGGCGGTGCTATTCACATTTACACGGATTGTATGGATTGTATACTCATTTTGGCGGAAAACCCTCCCTCAACCAAAACAAGATACCAAAACTCGAAAAAGTTACCAATAATAGCAACACGTTCATCGGCGATAGGCGAGAGGTTGAATTGAATTATCTCTAGTCTACGGAGGTCTATCTCAAAAGTTTTGTCCAGGAGCTAGTAGCGCCAAGGCCGCTTATCCCTGTCGGTACCTGAGGTACTTTGGAGCAAATCTTTTCAGTTACTTACTCCCTAAAGCTATAGGGAGGGCTATTGGAGCCCAGGGGGAAATCTAGTGAAGCTTAGAGAGCTATATCCTTAGAAGATAGGGGCTTCAAAAGTAAAGAAAGAGGACCATAAGTACCGATGTAACTGTGCTTGGAAAATGGCCTCTGATTGGCTCGTGTATTTGTGTGGCTTGAGGGCCAGGACAAAACTTTTGAGATAGACCTCCGTACCTACCCGTGCGACGGGGGTTTTGAGGCAGCCTGTCCGCACTGCATCATTAAGCTAGCTACTTAAAAGGAGCATAATACTAAGGAAAAAAAATCCATTGAACGCGCAAGGCTGTTGCAATTATGATATAGCTTTGTTAAAATCTTATCATAATGTTATAATTCTATTATAATTGAGAGATGTTTTTAGAAGAGATTATGCTGATTTTATTATGAAGCCACAATATAAACGACAGTGTGAAGCAAGTTATGCGTCACACTGTCCTAAACCCCCCCTTCACCCGGGTAGGTAGTCTTAAACAGATGCGTCAATAACTGAGACGTTTGTTCGCATGCGGACGAGTTGGGACCTGACGTGCCTGGCACGATGGGGCGCGCCTTCCGAAGACGGGCATTCGCTCATGAGGTTGCCTGGACTGTGGCTGCTCACCCCCCGTTCCGCCGGCCTAAACGTTGCAGGAGCAACCTATTGATTGGTATTACTCTGGAGGGAAAGAATGCGACGCATCTCATTCTTTTTGGTCTTATCATCAGCACACGACGCGTCAATTTCGACTGTCAATGCGGCTGCTTTGGATTCTACAGAGGTTTCTCTGTGAGATTCATTCAACGAGGTTTTCATTCAGGTGAAACAGCACCTGCGACGAGAATCTAAGCGAGGCAATTGGCAGTGTCGTGATAGCCTGGGGCACCCGCCCATAGCGACGATCCCGACCTCTATCACAATGCCCACGTATCTATGCCACGGATTTCGATGGCATCGCCGGGCCATCCGCATTTACGTCATTCTCAACGACCTCGAGGATGCTGCTTCAAACTGGATTATTGGACCTGCGACTTCTTCATCCATCATCGATCAGTTCTACACCTCATACGACTTTCTCCCTGAGGTTGCACCGCCACAGCAGGAGGCCAGCGTCAGCATCAAGGCCAAGAAGGATGATGAACACCTCGATGATGACCTCTCGCTCCCACCATCGCGTGTGCCACCTGAGCATGATGGCGTCCTTATGCACTCATGGTCCGCCGTCAAGTTACTGGAGGAGTATGATCCCGAAGACATCACGACTCCCTGCAGGCCGTACGCTTACGTTGCGGATTATGTGGTGCGGGTCGACTTGAGCGTGGATGTGGCTGGTGAGATGGCCAAGTACTATGAGAAGATGGCAGGTGAAGATGGGTGGATTGTGAAGTTGAGAGATGAGCTGCAGAAGGGAGAGCCGGTGAGATGGTATGTCGTTGTTTGTGGCGATGAGGTCAGGGACTTTCCGGGAGAGAGTGATGATGAGGAGAGCGAAGAAGATTCAACGTCTGAGTATGGTGGTGAAGCAGACGATGCTCTTACAGCGCTGGATGATAGCCCAGAGGAGCAAGAAGGGCGCTCAACACCGAGACCTCCCGAACAAGAGTGGCCAGACATCCGCCAACCTATCCAACCCAGCGAGCCCCTTCCACAGAGGCTATCAACTTCAACGACATCGTCGTCACAGTGGTCACAAGAAGATGCAGCAGCGCCGCCGAGACTAACACCGGATATCCAAATACCACTTCTTCGAACCTTTGATAGTGACTCGTCACGGTATTCAACATCGACGGCGTCGGGACTCTACCACGATGGAGACCGCTTGTTGCTAGAGCCTGAAGAGTTCGTGATGGCGCAGTCACCCGCGCGGACTCCTTTACGGGAGGAGGCACCAGACATTGTCATGCCCATCAGAGCCGAGGAGCTCAACCCATCCCTATCAGCGTGGTCGACTACACCGAGCCCGCATACTGAGCTACCAGACCCGAGCTCACATCCATACGCGGAGGTTATGCCATCTAGATCACCTTCGCCAACGTCCCCGGTTACTGTGAGACAAGAAAAGACAGGTCCAAGTCTAGTTGAGGTGCATGAACCTGAGAAGACCCAGGCTCATCAAACGCCATCCCCGATGACGCAAAGCTCGCCATGGCAACAGTTAATGGGATCGAGATTACAACACTCTGATTATGGTTCATCTTCTGGAAAGTCTTCGCCAATCGCTCCGCAGAAAGGGGGGCCAGAATCCTTGCACGACCCCAGAGACTTTCAGACACCTTCACCTACATCACCAAATCCTCCACGGCCAGGGGTAATCAGACCGTTGAATACTGCCCAAGAAACTCGGTTGACTCAAACACCCTCACCAACTTCACCGAATCCTCCAATGCCAAATGTTGCAAGGTCATTACACGATCCTCCGGAGATCAAATCTTCTATGATACCTGCACCACTTTCACCGAAACCTGTTAAGCCAGGGCTGAAGAGCTCATTGATCAACCCCAAACATCTTCAACTATCTCGAACGCCCTCGCCAACTTCACCAACTTCGCTCGACTCTCCATCAAGTCTGACAAGGCCATTACTCAACCCACAAGCTCTTCACCCTTCTCAAACCCCATCCCCGACTTCGCCGAACCCACTGACAAGGTCGCTGGTAAACCCTCAAGATCTCCAGCCATCACGGACACCCTCGCCTCCTTCACCTACTTCATTGGGTCCCTCACAAGCAAGGCAGCTGATCAACCCCCAGCACCTCCGGTCTCAAACGCCTTCACCAACATCATTAGGGACTTCACAGCCAAAGCCACTTATTAATCCCCAACACCTTCAGCCATCGTGGACACCCTCCCCCCCTTCGCCAACTTCACTGGGCCCATCGCAGCCAAGGCCACTGATCAACCCCCAACATCTCCGGTCTCAAACGCCCTCGCCAACTTCGCCAACATCATTAGAGGCCTCACAGACAAGGCCACTCATTAATCCCCAAGACCTTCGGTCATCCGAAACTCCCTCCCCAACTTCCCCTAGCCCTTTAAAGCCAGTGATAACAACGTCACTTGTCAACCCCCAAGACCTCCGTTCTTCTCAAACACCCTCACCAACCTCGCCTAGTCCTTTGCCACCGGGTATAACAAGATCATGGGTCAACCCTCAAGAACTTCAGCCATCACGAACACCATCGCCGACCTCACGGAATCCCCCAACAAGGTCGTTAATAAATTCTCATGTCCTTCAACCATCACGGACCCCCTCGCCAACTTCACGGGGCCCTCCAGCGCCAGAAATTACCAGGTCATTAGTCAACCCTCAGGATCTTCGACCTTCTCAGTCGCCCTCTCCGACTTCACCGAATCCCATTCAGCCAGGGTCAGCAAGACCATTAGTCAACCGTCAAGATCTACGAGCCCCCCAGACACCCTCTCCGACTTCACCAGAACCTCTACCGCCAGTGTCAACAAAGTCACACATTGATCCTCACTATCTTGGAGCTTCTCAAACGCCTTCGCCGACTTCACCTTGCCCTCCAGGACCAAGATCGCCAGGGAAACCCCAAAACACCAGGTATTCTGAGACGCCCTCACCAACTTCACCAAATCCCCCACAGCAAGGGGTAGTGCGAGGGTTAAATCCTGCAGACATTCAACCTCAAACACCTTCGCCAACGTCGCCCTATCCTCCCCAAGCATCGAGAGAGCCCCTAGATTATTTTCAAAATCAACATTCTCGAACACCATCGCCTCCATCTCCAAATCTCTCACATGGCCTCCTAGGGTCGTCCTTTCACAGTGCTCAACAGGCTCAACCACGAACACCGCTATCACCCTCGCCGAACCCAGCCGGGCAGGGGTTGCTGGGCTCAGCATTGCCCAGGCCTGGGGGGACAGTTCCGTCTCGGACCCCATCGCCGATGTTGATGAACCGTTCAGTACAAGACCTGCCGACTCCTGATATATCGCAAATGCCTGGAGCCTTGCCGCTTTCACCGTCGACACCGAGACCAGACCCATTTCAAATGGCCGAGGCACACGGGGCCCAGGATAGAGACGTGTCCGAACCGTCGTCGCGCCTCACAACACCAACATTAGTTCAAAGGGAGACATCAGACCCCCACGCAGTATATCATTCTACTGAGCCGTTGATGCGATCACCTTCACCAGCATCGCCAGTTCGTAGACTACAAGAGACACCGATACCTGATGTGCCGCCACCGCCTGAGCCAGTAGAAGTCATCCGGGTTCCTCCGCCTACACCACCAAAAGCACGATCTGTTCAGGATGAGGAGGAGATAGGAACAATGTCGAGGTCAGAGCGAGGAGAACCGTCTGGGGCATGGGCGAGTACCAGAGCGCCGCCACTAGCACGAATGGCTGTCCAGGGCGAGATGTCGGGGTTTGCGGACGAGCTAGAGAACGAGGAGACAGTTTGGGAACCTAGACCGTCTCCCGCGTCCAACCACGGCTGGGACAGAGGCCCTCAACGCACGCCACTTGGGAATGGAGAGGGTAGAGCGCCACCAGTGCCACCACCACCACCAACGCAGATTGGGACTCGACAAGTGAGCGTTTCTACACAACACACGGAGGTTCATAAGCCTGAGGGCGAGCAACAGCCTCGTCAAGCGCGCCGAAGACATTCAGTGGCTGATGGACTGAAAAGATTGTTTCGGAAAGGACATAATCAGAATGGAAGTCATTGAGCAAGAAGAGGGCAATTGAAGGAAAGTCATCTTAGTGGTATCTAGCTGAGATAGTCTGGGGTTGTTCTGATATGTTCTGTACCTCAAAAAGCGTGGGTAGCGATTGTGGGAAAGGGGCCAATGTTTGGAAAACAAGCGGATAATTGCACGTTACATTTTCTTTTCAGGAAAACAATCATGATCTTGAGCAAGCTGGCAACATCAATTGACGAAAACACCCAAAGATAATTATCCTAGATAAAGCCTATCTGTTATCTGTCCATCGATTTTAATTTAGTAACGGTTCAGTTGGCGATGGGCCTCTAATAAGGGGTCCCGCGTCACGTGTAACCAAGACATGTCGCGACGTTGTTCAAAGAACAAGCTTCCTCCAACCACAACGCAGCAGATCCCAATCCCTATTCATTCAACCCCCTTCACGCCAGGCGAGGATGCATCCTCCATGAACCGAATTGGACGGCGCGTACCCTCAGTCCTCGCCTGATCTGATCTTTCGCTGCCTCGAAGTTTCCCACCTCAGCCGTCCGACGACCCAGATCCTCCTTTGACCACCCCGAACCTCCGTCCCTCGAAATGACCCACCCCGAGCCCGGCCGGGCCGCCGACTCCTTTGCCCAGACGAGCGCCGAGTTCACCCTCGATGACAGCGACGATGAGGATCTTCGGTCTGCCGTCGGCGGGAGCGAGACGTATGAGCTACGCGAGAGGGACGATAGACGCCGTCTAGGCGGCGGCGCCAGCGCGATATGGGATGCCGACGCCGACGCGGATGCCGATGATCCCCTCGTGGGCGGCAGCCGGCGGACCTTAAGCCCCGGCTCCGTCGCGAGTTTTCAGCTATACACTCCCGACGAGGATCGCGCGGTGCGGCGCAAGTTTGACCGCCGGCTGGTCCTCTTTGTTGCGCTGCTATTCATGCTAAGCTTCCTCGACCGATCAAGTACGCCTCTCTCCCCCTTATATACGTCATATACTTACAATCGTTATAGATATTGGTAATGCTCGTATAGCAGGCATGGACGAAGACCTCCAGTCCGACCCCCCGCGCGACGACTGGTACGAGTGGGCACTAACGGCATTCTACATCTCGTACATTGCCTTTGAGTGGATGTCGCTCCTGTGGAAGCTCATCCCCGCCCACATCTTTGTGTCCATGGTGGTGCTGACCTGGGGCCTCACGGCGTCCCTGCAGGCCGTCGCCACGTCGTACCCGGTGCTCATCGCCCTGAGGGTCGTGCTGGGCATCGGCGAGGCGGGTTTCACTGGTATTCCTTTCTATCTTAGTTTCTTCTTTAGGCGGGATGAACTGGCTTTCCGGACCGCCATCTTTATATCTGGTATGTTGTCCTCAGTGAATAACAGATGAGAGAGACTTACAAGATTTATAGCTGCTCCTCTGGCAACGAGCTTTGCTTCAACCCTCGCCTGGGTCATTGTCAAGTTCGCCCAGCTCAGCCCCATAGCCCCTTGGCGTCTTCTCTTCATCGTCGAGGGTTTCCCTTCAGTGCTTGCCGCTGTCGCAGCCTGGAATATCATCCCTGACTCTCCTCAAACGGCGCCGTACCTAACAAAGCGTGAGAAGAAGGTTGCCCGTCTCCGTCTCCGCAACGAGAAGCCCGCGGCGGCGACAGAGGCAACCTCCAAGCCGTCGTCAGGTCTCCGAGCTCGCGATGTGCTCGCTGTATTCCGCGATCCCGTCGCTTGGATCACCAGTGCCATGTTCTTCCTCACAAATATGGCTTACTCTTCCCTTCCAGTCTTTCTCCCCAAGATCCTCACAGAGATGGGCCACGATACCCTCACCTCACAGGCTCTCAGTGCGCCCCCTTACCTGGCTGCCTTTGTCATTGTCCTCTTCACCGCGCACATGTCGGACCGCCTGCGCGCCCGCACTGTACCTCTCATCTTCCATGCTCTCGCCTCCGCGAGCGGTTATGCCGTCCTTGCGCTGGCCAAACCCCTGAACCTACCCGCCTTTCTCCGGTACATGGCTGTCTATCCTGCTGCCATTGGCTTCTTCAACGTCGTCACTCTCATCATCGCTTGGAGTATTAACAACCAGTCCAGCGAGAGTCGCCAAGGTGGTGGATTTGCCCTTCTCCAGGTCATCGGCCAGTGTGGTCCGCTTGTGGGCACCCGTCTTTATCCAGACCGAGATGCCCCCTTCTACGCCCCTGGTATGAGTACCTGCGCGGTTGCCATGTTGACGGTCGCGATGTTGGCATTTATTCTTCGTTTCTACCTAAGATACAAGAACCGCAAGTTCGACAAGGCCGAAGAGGAAAGGCGAGGCAATGGGGATGAGATCGAGGAAGAAGGTCTGGTTGGCCCTGGACGACGAAAAACAACAGCAGTTGCGTTCAGGTACATGTTGTGAGATGATTACCAATATCAGGACTTTTATTCTCACATGGCTGAGATGATATATACGAGGCCAGCGTCATTTTCCCGCACGCTGCAGATAACAACCGTAATGGTAATGGTAGAAACAAAGGACCTATATTGACTAGGCTACGTCGATATGTGTATCTTGTTGATACCTTTAATACTTGAATAATCCACTCTGAAACTTCCCTTCATCATATGCCGAAAAGGCCATGTTCCCCTTGCTCCCCCAATCATTTCCCAAATCGCATCCATGAAGGAGCTCGATACTTGTTCACACCAACTTTCCACCACTCCTCGTGTCCATGTCGACTTCGCTCCATCGAAAACGAGGCAAACCCCTTTTCGGGCTTGCCCTTGATGGCGTCCCCTGGCTTGAGTCTGCGACGTAGTGCCTTCCATGCAGTGTACTGCTTTCTCTGCTTCACCTGTCGGCGCTTGATGTTCTTGTAAGCTCGACCGAACTTACGGGAGCCGCTCTGGTAAGCGCTTGAAGCGAGCCTCTTCACTTCACGACGTGTTCGCTTGACGCTTCTCGTCAGGCTTCGAAGGGAGATTCCGGAAGCGCTGCGCTTGATAACCCTGGGCTTTGCATAGGAGGGTTGCACTGAGGATCTCGGGCTGCCTTGGTAGAGCTGTTCGACAGCGCCGTCAAGCTGAATGTTGGCGGTTACACGTTTGAGCGGAGATGTGTCATGAGCGAGAATGGTTTGGCTGGAAGAGTTTTGGCTCTTCTGGCATTCACCGCTGTTTCGTTCTGTCGTGTCATCTGGGACCAAGTCTTCTGTGCTCGACATTAACTCGTATTTATGATACGAGGTGACGGGACGATGCCATTCTAACATAGCTGCAGCAGCGTCTGCTGCAGCTTGATAGGCAGTGGTAGCCGTTGGGCCACCGGAAGAACTGGATGAACGAAGGTTAGAAAGACGATCGTTTGCACGACTGTACTGCGACAGATCTCCTAGGCAGGGCTTGGTGTTTCCGAGATCTGAGACTGGCGACTGCATGCGGGAAGGGTCCAGGGCCTGTTCTGTGTATGACGAAGATGCGCTCCGTACATGTTCGAACTTGCGATCAACAGACGATGAATCAGACCTTGCGAATTTGAGATTGTCGTTTACCAGTCGGAGAAGACTGGCCTGGTCGGCGAGTAACTCTGCCGCTGGCAACATAGGAGGCTTGTCTGCTAGTGCCTCTCGGGGCTGCACATCCTCTTGAAGGCGCCCGCGAGGATGTAGGGGCGTCATAGCATTGCGTTGGATACAACCATCTGACTTGACTCTTGTCTTTGAACCGACAGACACTGATGGTGACAAGGGCTTTGGTGTATCATCCTGCTAGGATGCTGTCGGCCTGGTGTTTTCTGAGTTGTCCGGTGGTCTCTGGAAGATGGAGGGTCGCTTCCGTGCCACGATGTGGTTGAGCTTGGCTTTCGAGTAGGTCTGGCTACCAAGGGAGTTGCTCCCAATCTCCGTCGGGCGAGGGCAAGGGTGAGAGCGGATGGGGAGTGTAAAGGTTTGAAACATGACGAAGTTGATGATGCCGTCCGTGAGAATTCAATGTGAGAATGCTTGTGGGTGTATTGAGAGACGCAGTGTAAGATGAAAAGGCGGTTTGCAGAAGGGAAAGAAAAGGAAGAGGTTCAGTGAACGAAGCATTTGAGATAAGAACCAAGAGTTGACAGGAGAGGAAGGGGCACCTGTCAGAACGGACGGAGAGCAACTGCCTGAGGGCTGGGCATGGAAGGAGGAGATGCAAACACCTAAAAGGAAGGCAGGTCTTGTCCTCTCCTGCCTTGCCGTCCCAAATCGCCATCTCAGTCCTCAACACCAAAAAATCATCACGACACAACAACCAGCGTCAGAAACCAGCAAAAAAGGGGAATTGGAGGGCATTGGGAGTTGCTCCCGCCAGGGCTTGAACCTGAGACCTTCGCATTACCATTTACTCGGTATGAAGTATTAGTACGACGCTCTAACCAACTGAGCTACGGAAGCCGTCCAATTCGTTGAACACCGGGGAAGCAATTTGGTGATTTACGGAGCATGCGGGGTGGTGGGTCACGGAGTGGGTCATACCCACAACACCAAGCGGGGATCATGATGGACTTGAATTCAAACATGAATGATAATGTATGACGATTAATTACCTATGGATGAATTAAGTAAAAGTGTAGGGCGTATTAGTTCCTCCTGTTGTGTATCCCATGCCTGGTCATCTCTCATGAATTACCTCCTCTCTTCTCTTCACCAATTCTTGATCGTCTACTGTGGGTTCCGCACGCAATTCGTGCACTCGGCGCATGTGAAGTGCGTCGTCTCATAACCAAGCTTGCCTTCACCATCGGGGCTCTCCCTTTGAAAGAGATCAGGCCAACCGTTCTGAGTCTCTGGCCAGGCAAAGAACTCGATCGGGTTACATCGGTCTTGGGCGCTGAGTCTGCAACCTTGTTAGTTGTCAACAGCGACATGCGAATGGAGGGAAACGTACGTTGCCATTCGACAGATGGCACCCGGTTCGACAAAGACGGATCCAACATGGCCTGCGAGCTCTGGTCCCAGCTCGGAGCATGTGTACTCGAGCTCGGGGTAATAGACGAAGCAAGGAGGTCCCCAGTTTTCCTCACGACAAAAGTAGACCTGAGCCGCCGTTAGCGATGTGAATCAACACAGTGTTTGTTGGGTGAATCCTACCATTCCAGGGTGCCTGTGCTCTGGATCATTCTCCTCGGGCGTTGTGCCCAGTCGAGACTTGATCACTTCGGGGTCAATGGGCTCGTATTTGGCTGCGCTCCGGGCGCTGAGGGGAGCAGACCACATGTCGACAGAGGCCGCGAGGCATTGTGAGGCAAAGAGCGACAGAGCCGCCAAGGTAAATGTTGATTTCATGATGAAGGTTGTGATAGATGAAGCGAAAGAGTACAAACAAGAATAGTTTGTAAAAGATCAAGTTTGTAATCCTAAGATATTTCTTCCTTGCGAGATTGCCGAGATTCAACGGCAGTCAATACGCACTCGGGTCGAGCCTACTTATACCAGAAGTTTGTTTGTCTTAGCTCTCCCTTTCATGGGGCTTGGAAAGCGAAGCACAGGATGACGCGGAAAGCCTCGTGATTGCCCATGGCCTAATGCGATACTACTGCACCCCGAACCCACTCGCCTCACCTAGTCCAAGGGTCGCGTCAACTCTGACCGACGGGAAGCCGTCATGGTGATGCTTGTCAATCCCGTGTTGGGTGAGAATCACCCGCTCCCCCTCCAGCCAGCCTCGGAACTGCGGTCATCCCGTGATTCGGCTCGTCGGGCGGAGATCCAAGGAATGTCGTCGACTCGCATATGGCTTACATCATTGGTAGGAGAGACTCTCAAAACTGGACCTCAAAACTGGAACCTTGAGAAAGCTCTGGCTGGGCCTGGACTTTGTCAGCTCAGTGACTGAAAAGCTCAAGGTTTGACTGGTCGCAAACTGGCTGATCGGCTGTTGACTGATCGGCCGGCCGCAGTGCAGCGTTGCTAAACTTGGATACACACACACACAATCAACAACGGTCTTACCGGCATATCCTGTGCGACTCTCGTGTCTGCTGCTCAACCGTCTGCCTGGGCCAGATTTTGTTGCTCCGGCCACCGGGCCTGTTGAGCAATCCGCCTTTGCGTCGGACTCCCACGTCGCGCATTGCATCACGGGATGAGTCTGCCTGCTCGCAAATCATCGTGGTTTGCCAGAGCTGCCCTTTTCCCATGAGGACATATGCAAATGCAGACGCCTTCGCAGCCAACACGGCGTGAGGCCTTGCTGGATCGCCCAACCTCGCATGATTGATCGTCCCAACCTGACGTAGGCATCGAGGCAGCATGACGGTATTTTGGGTTTTACATGCTGACTTACTTTGACATCGATTTTCCCCAACCTCCGGAGCGCCGATCATGAGTGAGATGAGCTTCCCCTTGAATAATTCTCCGAGCCCCGACCAGATGCCGATGGCTGGGCAAGACACCCGGGGCTGGTGCCGGGGCTCGGCGGCGGAGACCCACCAGTCGATTGCCTAAATAGGAAATGCTCTCATAGCCAAGATGGCTCTCCGGCATCCCGTACTCACGGGAACGACCTCGTGACGGGAAGCATATACGGACAATTTAGAGTCTTGATTTGAGTAGGGAATCCCGGTGATACTAGTATAGTGCGTGTCACACTTAACGCAACTACCAAATGATCTTTGCAACAACCAAGTAACCCTGCAATCATGTCTTGGCATTTCGTACAAGGAGGGCCTAACTATCTTGAAAGAGCTCTGCCATGGCCGCTACCAAGATTGTTGAGTCTCTGCTTGACACCCGATTTAAGAGAATTTAAAAACTAAGCTATCGTTAGTAATAAAATAACCATAATTCTCCCGCACGTCCATCATGACTTGGCAAATCAACAAGCTGTGTTGGTTGGCTCTACTCCATACTGTTGGACGGGTAAACTGTCGATGAAACGTAACTAATCTGCCCCGTATCTCTCTTCAACCAAGCATTGCACTCATTTCCAATCCACATAATTTACTAGCGACTCAACCCCAGCAACTAAATACGGCGCAGCAGCAAAGGTCCCGGGGTCAAGCACACAAAAGGTCGAGACCATCTCTTCGGCTTGTTGATTAAAAGGTCTCCCGTCGGCTGCACGACATGCCTTGATGCAGCTTCCCGCACATACATAATCCAACAAGCAAAGAATCCCGATCTGGAAAAGATACCGTCGTCATGGCCGACATCACATCACTGCCCAGGTCGGAGTGGCCTTCAACCTCGCTGCGCGCCATGTTTTTGTACGACACCGACCACCCAGTATCCCTCGAGGCCTCAGTTGTGTCCGCTGATAGGAGCCACTCGACGTACATCGTCACCTGCCCATCTTCATGCGAGACATCCGACTTTCCAGAGCAAACCATCACGCATATCGGAGGATCTTCATGGCTGGGCGAGCGAACTTGGGATGGTACGACCACGCGCTGGGGTTGCAGGCTCGGCAACGGGGGCAGAGACATTCTCACGGACCAGTACGGCTGGTGCAGCGCAGTCACGGCGGCCAAGGGCGAGGCTACCGAATTGCCAAAGTCGACGGCGGTGAACACGTGCTACGTCTCTATCCGTTCAGTCCCGGCAATCATCACGGCGGGCATGGAAAAGATATACAAGGACGCCGGGTATTATGACCTAGGGTTTGACGTAGACGATTGGGTCTCGGGGTACCCTTTGGAGCTGTCTTCAAAGGGTTGCCTGACAACGGCGACAACGACTACGGAGGGATCAAAGTCAACGGCTGAGCCGTCCAAGGAGAGGGATGAGTCCAAGACGGCTAGCGAGACTGGGTCAGCAGCGGAGGCTACAACGACTGGAGATGCAGAGACGGATAACACTGCAGCATCAACGACTCCGACAGAGACGGCAAATAACTCACCAAAGATGTCGGTGAATAAGCTGGCCATCTTCGGATCTTTGTTGCTGGGAGCATGGGCTTGCGCCTAAGCCTGCAACTCCATGGACATTTGCATATTTCCGCACGATTCACTTCCCTTCAGATAATAATTCACTTTGGAGCTCCAGTTTATTGTGTTTGCCAAGGCTCGTTTCTCTTTCAGCTGCCCTATCGGTTATATACCCCGATGCCTAGGCATTATGTTTCAGCGTTATGCCAGCGAGAGCTCTGCTTGCAACGCCGCATACAAAGAGGGAGGCTCGCCCTTGACGATTTTCGCAAAAAACTAAACTCCCCGTAACTTTGTCGCACCACAAAATGGGCCGTTTTGAAGCGTGAGCTTGAAGGTATCTCTCTATTCATCCTCTCTTAGCGTGGTTGTGCATGTAAATCGAGCTGACAATATACTTGACAGAACAATGAGACGATACCTATTAGGTCACGAAAGAAGAAACAATACTCGATACTACCTCTACACAATGTCTAGTAGAGCCGTTGTTAGTTATGGGAAGAAGCCACAGCAAGTTGACGCCACGAGCGGCTGACAAGTCTTGGAACGGAGCAACATTACGGGAGCCTTACACAGTACGATCCGCACAGTCCTCTTGGCGCTCGAGACCATGGATTAGATCGAAAATACCCGGCCGCCACGTCTTACATCTGCTATTTCCAGGTGTCCACTATCCGTTATGCTGCTACAGTGCGCAGACTAGACTATTCCTACGCGTTATGCTGGGTGGAGATGGCCAAAGTCGTCCATCATAGTTGAAAAGCGACGACGTTTCTCTACTACAGCACATCGCGAAAGGCAGAGCTCGCACTCTTTTTGCTCTTTCACTCTCATAATTTGATTCGAAGGTTTTCGAGGACATCATAGAGATCTTTTGAGTGAAAGGACCCCAAAATCATGGAGACAGGCGCTTCCCCAACAAACCGTCCGCGGACACGACAAAGAGCGTATAAGAAACCACCACCACTCGACGTACCTCACATCGACGATGATGCCGCAGAAAGGAAACGCGTATTAAATGTGCTAGCACAGCGCAGGTACCGTACGTTTGCTAACACCAGTTGAATGGTCTTTGTCTGACAAGAGTCATAGGTGAAAGAAAACGCCTGAATCGCCTCAAAGCCAACTCTGCCGAGAATGCAGAGCCGCAGTCACACAATACTCAGGCAACCGAGATCACCACAGCGGATGAGGTTATTGAATTGCCAGCCGTGTCAAGTAGCACACGAGGCACGATCCCGAGTGCCGTCATCACCGTCCCGGTCACGGCTCAGGGCTCCGATATCATGGCTGGCCTGGACCTCAGCCTTCCGCCGTGGGATCCCCTTGCCGATGTAACGCTTGCATCCGTACTGCCGGACACGGGTGCTCTCCCGGACTTTTTGACGGATGACAACACTGGCGGTGAGACGGTGACGCAGCCACAGCCAGGGCTATCAATGGGCTTCACCGGATCCGAGAGTCTCCCGTCTGTTTTTGATGCATCCTCGCTCGGCGTTGCTTCTTCGTCCTCCTCCTCACCAGATTGGAACTTCCCCGACAGCTATCACCTCCCGATCCTCGAGCTCACCCTCCTCAAGGCAGTAGTCCGTATTGCGGACCGCCTCAACTGCAAGACAGGCCTCTGGAGCCTCGAATGCATCTCTCCCTTCAACACGGGCACCGCAACACCATCAGAACAGCTTCCCGCGACATGGAGGCCGACACCTTCACAGCTCATAATGCCTCACCATCCCATGTTTGACCTGCTTCCATGGCCAGGCGTGCGGGAGCGCGCCATCACCATCCTGTCGCTGCCGGACGATCTGCGGCCGCCCAGCGCGCAGGGCCCGTTGGCCATGGTGAACTTTGCGTACGACATCGAGGACAGCGCTGAAGGCGTGCGTATCTACGGCGAGGACCCGTATGACGCGTCCAACTGGGAGCTAGGGCAAGTGGCCTTTGAGCGCTGGTGGTTCCTCTTTGATAATAACATCATCGAGACGAGTAATCGGTGGCGGAGGATGAGAGGTGCGCCCCCGTTGTTGATGAAGAGTGCCAGCCCGAGTCCAAGTGCTGAAGCATCGTCGTATACAAGTTAAGTGTTATGGTTGGGGGGAAGCGAGGTTGGCGTTTGGGTAATTTGTGCTAGGTGGTATGGCATACGGGATTTATGAATGGTGTATACTTATCTAGACATAACTGCTTGGCGCAATACTATGTCAAAGACAATTCAACTCTCTATGACATTAAAATCACCGATAGAATCAAGCTGCACCTCGAGATCGATAGATATCCAACTTGAATGGTGGAGCTGAGGTGAGTTCACCGAGTCAAGTCTTGCAGCTCCGGACATCCTTGGAGCAAGGTATCTGCCAGTTGGGTGTAACAACAGGGCTGGCCACGATACATGTTTCCTCGTGGTCAGAGCTGGCCCTG